GATGGGCCGGAGGAGGGGGAGGGGGATGGGTATGGGTATGATGGGGTGGAGGTTGATGTTGAGTATGTTCGTGGGGTGACGGGGAGTAGTAGGAGAGGGTATGAGGGGCGGTCTTATGATGATTCTTTTGACTACGATCAGGGGTATGACGACAACTACGATGACGACGACGACTACGACGACCAGGGCGAGCGTATAGCAATCTATCCTCCCTACCACCACCACCACCCTCACATAACCACCCCCACCGACCCCTTCGGCCTCACAACCCACAACCCCTTCCAAGACCCCACACGCCCTCGCCCCAACCCACCCACCACCACCCCATCCCTGACCCTCGACCCACCTCCCTCCCAAACCTCCACCAACCTCGCACGCCTCATCAGCAACGAAGTCACCCCGCTCTTCGCCTACCTCGCCTCCCCCAGCTGCGCACTCACCTCCCTCACCCTCCCGCTGTACTTTCTTTCGGCGCATAACCTGCGCGCGCGGCCGGCGCTGCTGTTGCCGTTGAAGCTGCGGTATTGGGTGAGTGTGTGTGTGCATGCGCTGGGTATGCTGGTGGGTGGTGGTGGTGGCAGCGGTGGTAATACAAACAAGCCCACAACGACCCTACAACACGTCCGCGTACGCTACGCCCCACGCGATGTCTGGGCGAGCATGGATCCCGCAGACAATCTGGGGCGCATGGTCGAGCGAGGCATCTGGTTCGATGAGGAAGGCGGGGAGCGCGAGGGCGAGGGCGCTGCGTTTCGGGCCGTGTGGAGGGAGTTGGAGGAAACATGGGGGATATGGGAGGGGCATGGGCGGTTTGGACTCGAGGCCCGGGTGGAGTTGGTGCCGTGGGATGGTGATGTGGATTCTGGGCGGGTGGGGGATGAGTTGGATGTTTTGTTTAGTAGGGGGTGAGGGGTTGGGGGGTTTGTGCTCGCAAAACATGTACTTGTTGCTGTATGCCTACCAGCCATGTGTCTCCCCTTCTTCTCTGAGAGACGACAGGCGTCTAAAAGGAGATGACGTGTCCAGTGTGCCCGAGAGCCGTTACAGGCGATCAAGAGAAGATGGAGAGGAAAAAAGAGGAAAAGATGGGCAAAAAACACACATACCCAATTGATCCAACAGGCTTACATGTACATCTGTTGCCCAACCCTCCAATGGTATCAAAGAGAAAATGAACGAGAAAGTTGGCAAAGGAAAAAGAAGAAAGAACAATCATTTCCCATTCCCTTTTCCCCGTCATCAAAGCCGTTGTTGCATCAAAAGACGACTCAAGAAAGAAGCGGCCCGAAGAGCACAAAAGTCTAAAAGTCCCAGAAAGACTCTGCGTTTTTCCGTCCACCCATACCATCGCCTTCCGTCTTGATGGCCGTATTCTTCACCGTCGTCTTTGCATTCTCCTTCTTGGCAGGTGAGTCCTCAAACAGTGACCACTCGTGACCCTTGCGGCCACCCATGCCATTGCCCGCAATGTTGATGCCCCGGCCGTCCGGAGAGTCTTGGTGCGCGCCCCAGTGGGTGTTCATGGAGCTGCGCGTCTCGTGGCTGGGCAGCTTGCTGTTGGCGAGTGCGTTGGCGCCGGGGCTATTGTCCTGCATGTCGAAGTGGGCGCCGAAGTCTTTGGAGCGGTTCTTGTTCTCGACGGCGGTTGTCACGTCGTTGAGCGGGCGATGGCCGTCGCCTTTGAAGGAGCGGTCTTGCCGACTGTCGGTGGTGTGAGTGACGTGGTCTTCATAGAGGCCTTGGCCGTTGTTTCCGAGACTGCCTTTGGTCGAGGCTTGCTTGCGCTGGGCTTCAGGAGTGCCGTCGTCGTTGAAGTCGAAGTGAGGGTCCATTGGGCGAGCTTTGTGGACGATGGGACGTCGGACTGGGGAAGTCTCCTATGGAAAGTATGATTAGCACATTTCAAGAGTACTGCAAGGAAACCCTGATGTGTCTGGCTCATAGATTGCACTCACCTCGTCATCGCTCCAGCCAAAGTGGCGGACAGCCTGGGGCTGTGTCTTGGTCTCGGCCTTCTCTGGTGTTGCAAAGTCCTCAAAATTCCAGCTGGGCTGCGACTTGGTCCCCTTGGGAGGTGCGCGTGCGGAATCGCGAACTGTTGGCGTCTCTTCGCCGTCGCCGAATTCAAAGTGGTTGTATTTCTTCGCATTGGTCTTGACACCCTGGGGGGTTGCAGCAATGCGGTCCTCCTCTGTATCCTCGTCAAACAAGCGGCTGGCCTTGAAGTTCTTTCCACTGCCGGCCTTTACGGGGATCCTCTGTGGTGATGGCGAAGGCGAACCAGTGTCTTCGCCCACGAACAGCTCAGAGTACTCGCGCGGCGGAGGCTTCGCGGACTGCGCGCGTGGTGCTGATGGCTGCGAGCTACATGACTCGCCCTCTGAGACCTCGCGCGGCGCAAAGAGGGACAGCGATGCATGCGGGTCGTTGGTGGCCGTGCTTGTGGAGCCGCGCGAGCGCGAGGAAATGGACACATCGTCGGTGCCTCTTGAGACAGCCGTGGATGGGCGCGAAGAAGCAGTCGAGGCAGGCTGAGGGGAGTTTGCTGCATTGGTCGCAATCAAGCGACTCTGGTCTTTGCCGTCGCGAATCGGCCAGTTACGCGAGCGCGAGCCGATGACGTCGATTTGCTTGAGAAGCGAGCCCTGGTCCCAGTACTGGCGGATCTGCGTGATGCTTCCAGCGCCGTCAAAGTGGACAATGTGGACCTGCGCATGGTTAGCTCTTGCTGTTTACTGTCTCCCAGGGTGGCTGCTTGCCATTGGGAATGTCACGGTGCGGTCGGCGACAAAGTTATCGTCCAGACCGGGCAGGTACGCGCCGCCGCCGTTGTTGAATTCAATCGTCGTTTCAACATCGACGCTCAAGCCGCCGTGGCCCTCGACAGCGTCCAGGATGGTCTGCTTGGTCTTCTTCAGCAGCTTCTCCTGCACAGCAAAGTGCTTCATAATGGCCGGCGCATCATGGATGCTGGTCAGTGTCGAGATGTAATGCAGCGACGCATTCGCAGCGAGCGCATCCTTGGATGGAGAGACCAGGAACCGGGCATACGTGTCGCGTAGCGTCATGATCCCAAGATCCGAGAGGGTTGTTATGCTAGGCTGCTGTTTTTGTTAAATGTTGTTGTCGCTGAGCTGCCGAGACTATGGATATAAGGCGCGGGGGGGTGGGGAAATTGAGCGGGGGTGGTTTGCTACTGATGTTGGTGGTTGTGGTTGTGGTTGTGGTGGTGGTGGTGGTGGTGGTGGTGGTGATGGTGTTGTGGTGGTACAGAAGTCCGGGTAAACAAATACTGCGCGCCCCGTCTCGCCGTCTTCAAGTAGGCAGGGTGAAAGGGGGGGGTGGCATTACAAGACCTCCAAGGCCTCAAGGCAGCCAGGGCCGACGGGATTTGGCCAGTCTGACCCTTGGGTTGTTTTATAAATGCAGGGGCATCCACTGGCAGCCACCGGGGGTGGGCGCACTGGGTGGCCCACTGTCGGCTTGTCCTGCCTGTCCTGCCTGTCCTGCCTGCCCTGCCCATTTACCGGTGCAGCCTGGCCTGCGAACATGATCCGCCCCTCTCCACACTGACGTTCCCACACACCACGGATGTTTACCACAGATTGCTGCGACATGGACTGCCTTTTGCACTTTGCCATGTCACGACATGGCGAATACTGACTTGACCCTGTCTTATGGGCCTGCGTTATAGCCAAAACTGCCGCTCCCAAGCTGGTTGCCAGGGCTGCGTGTGACAAGTAGTAAGCATCAACCAACACTTGACAGGGATTGTACACTGTGATTACCAGTAGTGATTACTACCAGCATGCCGAAATTGAAATTTGATGGTTAAAAATAGGGATGGTTCTAGAATAGAAATAGAGATCAGGACAGACAGATGGAGAGAGAGAGTGTGTGTGGAAAGAAATAGACGCTACGAGACAAAAAAAAATGAGCCAATAGGAAAACAAATGCGCCGCGCCATAAGTACGTTCCGACATATCAACAAGGCTGCTCCCTTGCGTCCCCTATGCTTCTTCTTCATCTTCTTCTTCCTCATCCGAGTCCACGCTCATCTGCTTCTCCGCATCCGCATCAAAGCACATTTCCCAGCACAGAACCTCGGTTGGATAGTCTGTTACCACACTAGGTCGCTCCTTGACGAACCATGCAAGTGCCGCTCCAGCAATGCCAAACAGGGACAGGCAAGCCCAGAGGCCCAAATTGGTACTCTGAACGCTCAAGTCGCTGCTAAAGTAATACGATGTCCCGCTGACTGCAACGGCAAATGCCTTGAACAGACTGGCAATCTGCATCAAGCCCACAACAGTTCCCGCCGAGTACGCGTCAGGTGTTGTGTTGAGTACCAGGAGGGAAACGAGAGCCACTGCAGAGCCAGCAAGGATATGCTTCCCAAGTATGGAGACCACGGAGATGATAGGCGCAACACCTGCCCATGGTACCGCAAATCCAAGCAAGGGCGTCAACACGTAAATCGCAGGGAAGAGGAGGGACACAGTGCGGTAGACCTTGACCAGGCCGTACTTCTCCATAACGAGAGGCACGCCAAACCAGATAGCAATTCCCGCCAGACCTCTGACGACTAGAATGACGATGCTGAGCCAATCGCAGGTCTATGACGTGCACTTAAAAAGGTCATATTATCATCAAGATA